TCATGGGCAGGGACGCCTCTCAACTAGATCAGGCTACTCAAGGCTCCGTCCAACCTGGCCTTGAACACCTCCCAGGTGTGGGGGCAATCACAATCTCTCTGGGCAATCTATTCCAAAGTCTCACCACCCTCATACTGAAGAATTTCTTCCTAAAATCTAATCTAAATCTGTTCTCCTTCAACTTAAACCCATTTCCCCTTGTCCTATCAGTGGACACTCTTGTAAAAAGTCCCTCCCTAGCCTTCCTGTAGGTCCCCTTCAGGTATTGGAAGGCAGCTATTAGGTCCCCTCGAAGTCTTCTCTTTTCAAGGCTGAACAATCCCAGCTCCCGCAACCTGTCCTCATAGCAGAGGTGCTCCAGCCCCTGGATCATCTTTGTGGCCCTCCTCTGAACATGCTCCAACAAATCTATGTCTCTCTTACGGTGGGGACACCAGAACTGGACACAGTATTCGAGGTGGGGTCTCACAAGAGCAGAGTAGAGGGGGAGAATCACCTCTCTTGACCTGCTGACCACACTTCTCTTGATACATCCCAGGATGCGGTTGGCCTTCTGGGTCGCATGAGCGCACTGCCGGCTCATGCTGAGCTTCTCATCTATAAACACCCCCAAATCCTTCTCTTCAGGGCTACTCTCAACTCACTCTGTGCCCAGTTTGCATTTGTGCCTAGGATTGGCCCGACCCAGGTGAATGACCTTGCATTTTGACTCAAGGTCCAAATGCAGTTTGCATTTGCTCAAGGTGAGTAACAGGGAAGAAGAGAGTATCACTTCAAACCCTGCTGTCAAGATCTAAGTTGTGACACATCAGTGATGGTGTGTTCACCCCTTTCAATTATGGTAGCTGCGAACATTTTTTCCTCTTTTTGGCTTAACAGAAATAAATGTCATTTGAATTGTTAGGACTAGTAATCCAGAAAATTTGTAGTCACACTAGATTTCAGAGGAAAATTATAGCCCATATAATTAGTTGAATATATCCTTCTGCTGAACTTGGAGATCAAAACCACATCTCAAAATCAACATGTTCTGGTTAATTCCTTAAATCCTCCTGCCACAAAGGGAACTGGAGTCCTATGCAATCATTGTCCAAGCTCTGGTAACTGAACTCATTTATTAATCAAAGTAGCACGCCACTGTTGTTGACTATTGAATTACAAAGACTTTTATAAAATTGGAGAATATTTTAATGTTGTTTAATCTTATTTTTTGCTTCAGTGACAGAAAAAAACATATTGTTGTTTGTTTGTTTTCAGGCAACAGTATAAAAGTTTTCTCACAGATTTTTGCTGTTGAAGACGAAATTCACAAATCTTACAGATTTTGGTTATTTTTTTCATGCCCATTTCTCATTTTATAGTATTTATCGAATAATGGCTGCTGTCTGAAGAAGACTGATCTATTCTAGAGGTAGGTCAAGCCTTAAGAAATTCATGAATATTTATCATTCAAACTTGCCATGCCATTCCACACGCCAGCAATATTACAACTTTGATAAGAAAGTGGAAGAATTGGTTGCTCATTCCTGCAATACATCAGTTCTTGTTCTGTGTGCCACAGGCCATTTAACAACAATTAATGTATCTATTAATGTTGATATCAATATTGTCATTTTTGAGCCTGGAATAAGATAATAAGGAGAGCATATCACCCAGAATTACCTTTTCGTGCAAAAATTTGGCAGGAATTTGCATTATGAGGGAACACAGAAAACTTGTGTGTGCAGATACATACCTATATAATGCGCATTGTACGTGCACACAATTATATATGTATACTTAGATAAAAATGATTTTAACATAATCCTCTTTACATTGATTAAGGTAGCTACGCAGTTAGTACGGCTTGCTCCTCTACAAAACTGCCTTTCTTGAGTAAAATCACAAAAGGCAGAGATTTGAGCAGTCGCCTGGTTTTAGTTTTCCACATTTATACTAACCTAAAGCAAAGGGTTAATGAGGCTTCCAGAAATCATGCCACCTACATAGTTAAACATAATAAATATGAGAAGTTGCTATCTTACAGGAATTGCCTTTGTGAAGGCTTTTAACCTCTTAATTACACTCTTGAAAAGACTCCTGCTATTTCAAAGGTTTCAAGAAATAATTCCTATTGTAAATCAGAAACGAATGCAAGAACCACCTTGTGAACAGAAAATTCCTAGACTGTATGAAACAAGAAATTGAATCTGTGCACACCTTTATCTGACAGGCACAACCCCATTTAAGCAAACAAAAGAATAATAGTTTTCTTTTCCTCAAAGAGGTCTCTTTCGGTGGTGATCATCTTTCAGGTGATGTTAGCTTTTCTGTACAAACCCGTATCATTCCATCTTGAGTCTGCTACACAGCTGTCTAAAGGCTTCCACTGACCACTCCTATCCTCCTTCTGTTTTAATTCTGTCACAAAATATCAGTCCTTTACATAGACTGCACAAACTATGTTTGGTTTACTTCTTCAGCTTCTTCACCCAATGGAAAAAATATTTGTAACAAAGCCTGAGTGAGACTATCATTTTGTTTAGAAACTGTGCTGAAAATTCAACGGTCTCTTTCAGAGCAACAAAGGAACTCTTGTTTGCTTGGCTTATCATGTTTTGGTTCCAAAAGCTTATAGAGTGATGTGTTCTCAGTAACATTTTTTTTTGTTTATTTAGCAGAAAGAAAACCTAATATAGTCACTAGACCAGTATTTTCTCATGACTTTTTCAAAGATCAAAGGAAAGAACTGTAACCTCAAAAGTATATGGCTGAGATATTTCAGTCTGTGTCTGGTCAATAAGAAAAAAGGCACTGACCAAATAACAATTATAAGATAATTAATTCTTAGGGCTGTTTCACCTTTAGAAACCTGAACAAATGCATTGTACATTAAGGAGGTAAATGTTCAAGACGGACATAAGAACCTGGGAGCTAATACAGCATAATGTGTGTCTCTGTAGTGGTAAGTTATACACAGATGACATAATTTGGTTGAAAATGAATTCATTTCATTAATTCTGTTCTTCAGATTTTGGCTAAATTGAATGCATGCAAAAGATGTTAACCTTCTGGTGGAACTTCTTTATACACAAAAAAAGAAGAGAATGTTCAATATAGTACATTTCTCAACCAACGTGTCTTAACTCTACCCAGACTGGATAGCTTGGTACAGATGCTCACTCTATTCTTGTCATTGTTAGACATTCACCAGTGACTTTGGTGACCAGTGCACACTGCAGCAACATTTTTTGTGATAGTTACTTGAACTTCCAGACTGACTTCCACATTTGTTTCCTGGAATTTTTTAGGAAAATAATTTTAATTCAAAATAATTCTGTGAAAATATAAGGTGGTGAGCTAAAGCACAGAAAAAAGTCAGTTGACTTTTTCCTCTGTTCAAAGAATCTGCCTGCCTATCTTCAATCATCTAGATATTTTATGCTGCACATTCAAAATCAGTAGATACTTTAGAAAATTTAGTCTTTTTTTGGTATCAGCTGACAATGGAATTCTGTGGATAATTCAGAAACATACCCTATTTACTGCGTCAACACAGCCAAGTGTCCTTGCAGCAGAAGGAACTCATGATACACGATTGAACAAGAATGTGGCAGATGAATTTTGGTATAGGTAGGTATATCAAGTCAGGCACTTAAGGAAAAGGCAATTCAAACTTTACATAACAAATTCTAGAGTAGCTACTAACATGCTAGAAAGAGGTCCCGCAGCTGTAATAAGTATGAAAATAACAGTTCAGTAAAGGTTAAAATCATTAAGCAAAACGAAGTTTGGGTAGTTAGTAGGAAAGTGAACAATAAAGCATCCATAATTCTCCTCTGTAAATCCATGGTGTGCAAACACTTTAAACATGCTGTGCAGGTCTGATCCCTCCTTGACTTGTCTGAAATCAAAACATGAGAACTAAAAAAAATTCAGTAAAACTGACAAGATGACCAGAGCAAGGGAATAGCTTCCACATGAGAAACAATCCTAAGAGCCTACGTCTGAAAAACATGACTAATGGAGATACAACAGAGGTCTGTAAAATCTGGTGTACATCAATAAGGAAGTGCTGTTTCCACTTTCTTCTGATGCTGCACTTAGAGGACAACAATTGTGGTGGGAAGTTCCAAGTAAATAACAGGAGGTACTTCACCATGCTACACAGGGCTAGCCAATCAGCAGACATGCTGCCACCAAGAATCATGAGTGTTATACTGGTTCAAAAAGCAATCGTACAAACTCATAAAAGAAAATTATTTAAAAGCTACTAAATCCAAATAAGTCAAAACAGGCTCAGCAAGTCCCTGAGTGCAAACCTCTGGGAGAGAAGACTGGGCTAGGTCAGCTTTCAGCACGACCTGGTACAACCATTCTTATGTTATAGGGCAGAGGCACATCAAAACAATTTCATTCATACCACGAAGCTGCCAATCCTCACTGCTGGTCTAGCAGTTCTGGCAGGAGTTCTGTTAAAACTGAAGCTTGTGGACTGAGTCAGAATGGCACAGTCAAGAACTAAAAATATGGAGACCTGCCTGAAGTACAGAATAAATTAAGCATCCTGTAGTACACTTTGTTTCATGAATTAATAGTGTTTTCCATACTGCTTAAAAAGAAAAAAATTACACCAAATGAAAAAAAACAAGGGAGTCATTTGGGACTCTTTCTTTTCCCCTCTAAAGAATCTTAACAAGAAACCATGGGAAAGAACAGTGCTCAAGGGACCATATTCTTCTCAACAGACAGAAACCATTGCCGGGCAAGGAGTGTCTTCTCAGACAGTGAACCAGTTTGCAATGCTGCAAAGAAGCTGCTGGTGTCATGAAATAACTAGAATGAAATCAGTCACTTTTGATGTCGAATTGAGAGTACAATTCTCTTGAAAAGCAGCTCAAAGAGAGTTAAAAGAAAAAGCTGATTCAGCACATTATTAAGTGGTATTAACAGGCAATTAATAGGTAATCGTGTATTATCGGTGATGCAAAGTTACAAGCTGATTTATCAAGTATACTCACAGAGACTGCAGGCTGCGCAAGTTCTGGAGTGCTTCAGTAGGAACCTGGCGTAGCTGGTTATTTTGCAGCATCCTACATTTTGAGTAGCACAAAAACTGGAATTAACACAGTAAAGATAATTTCTTTCTATTTTAAATCTTCTTCCAAGCTTATCTCCTTTGTACTCCTTTGTACTGGTTCTACTTCAAGATTACAAACACAGGAAAGCTACACAAATACTGTTACCCTGCTCCTGTCAAATGTCAGCTCTCTTCAAAGCAAACAAATATAGCATTTATTTATATTTACAGTATATATACAAATGTAGCATATTAGCTTTTTTAACAGCTACACATCAGCTTTGAGCAGGATTTTCAAAGCAGCTGAGGAAGTTAAAAGCATAAATCCAATTTGTTTTCAATAGGACTTGAGCTCTGAATCATCTCCAGTGATTCTGAAATGGTCATCATGTACTGATTCTTTTGTTTTCCTTCTGAAGCACTTCAGTTTTTTATTCTGATAAAGCTGTGAAAGATGGACTCTTGAAATCCGTACTCAGGAAAATGCTACTATGGCAAACAGAACTTTTAACTGTTTGAAGAGTTTGATTTAGTTCGAATAAAATTTTATCTCTGTCAAAACTGCTGATTTTTTCCCAATGGAGTCAATTTTCTCAAACAAAAGGTTGCTAGCAATGACCTGACAAATCTCTTTTCTGAAATACCACATTGTTTAGCTTGCAAAGACTGAAAAATCACTTTTCATTCCAATAGAATCTTTTCCTCCCTTTGAATACAGCCTAATATCCTTGTTTGGACCAACTTCTACATACATAAAAGGACTCTGTGTGGGTAAAACTGAAGTAGTACACACTGCCTTCAAAATGAGGCATACTCAATGGGTCATAGTAAATGAAATAATTTTTGGCAGGCCTAAATTTCCTTAGGCCAACAAGAGCTACAGCTGGCCAACTTAAGAGTAGATGGAGTGGGAAACTCTTCATACTTCTTTCCGATTTGAGTATTTTTTCAGAAGAGCTTTGCATACTCTTGCAGTAGCATCTGGCTTGGCTTGACGCTGCCTAGGAGGTTGGCTTTCTTGCTAATAATACAGTATCTGTGAGTTTTACGTAGGCAAAGATCCCCTTAGTATAAATGCTGTGAGATGTGACCAGCTAATAATTTTAGTAACTATATGTACTGTCTTATTACTTCAAATAATACAGGTTTTTGTAATTTTTTTTAATAATTTATCTTATAGCAATTATATGACAAAGAACAAGATATGAAATATGAAGTGCATTTTAAATTACATGGTGTTCTACAATAATGTTTTTTTTCCCCCCCTACCTCTCAAGAAAAGGAAACAGCAATTTACACTCAGTTTTGTGTGACCATGAGAAGTCCACTAAGACTTGAAATCAGAACTTTTGAGACAATTAAACAAACTATTAACCAAACCAATTTTTACCTTTGAAATTGTACAGAGACATCTACTTGATGAGTAAGTTGTTTTTAGAATGCCATTAATGTTTTCCAACCTTAGTGTTTAGGACATTTTCTATTTGAAAAAACAGATTTAATGATGTTCATATGTATCTTCACTCCAGCTGAATTGTTCAAAATGATCTGATCAGTGTATGTAATTTACTTGATCAAAACTTCACTGGTTAATTAGTTCCCTGGAGCATTTAGGAAATCAGAAATATATCAAACAACACACAGTTTACTTACAGCACTTTAAGACTGAAAAGGCCAGCAAATGCTCCCTTAGGAATGTATGTCAAGCCATTTCCTGCAAGACGTCTGTAAAGTTTGAAAAAGGAAAAGAAAGAGAGTGAATACTTTTTCTCTTCATGTGGAATTAATTTGGTTGTTAAAAAGTGCAACACAGCTATGTTTGAGCGACTGATGCCAGAGGCAGTAGTTTAAGAGCCTTGTTTTATCATTATTACACTTTCAAAAGCAAAAAAAAAAAAAAAAAGAGAAGCCCTTAAATGTACAGTTGATTTACTGACAACTGGACTGCAGAGACAAAAATGCAATTTCACTGCAAATCGAGCTTATGGTTTAGAATGCACATCTAATTCTTCATGTTGTTCTTTTTAAGGATTAGAGCAATCTCAGCAACTAAAATACAGACATACTGACAACAATTATAATAATTGGATTTACAGGCATGCACTTTTGGAGTTGTGCATGTATGATGTCTGTGCACATTTAACTCCTTTGCACTAATATAATAATATATCCACATAGTAATGACCATAGTTCATTTTAAAATAACTACATATAAAACTGCTGTACTGCTGGAATCATAGTTTTCCCTGTGAGCAGACATGTAATATGTTGGCATAAAGTGTATTTGCTAAAATTTGTAGGGCTTTTCCCCCTACTTCTATAGCATTTTCCTTCTCAGAACATCTGAAAGTATTTTACAGAACTAGGTAAGTACAGCTCTGTAAAGTGTGTTAGACTGACAAAAAAGAAAAATGTATGCCGTAAGGTTTATGCCTAGAAAAAAAAATCATGTATTTGATGTGAAATAATGGCATTTCTATGTTCCCCATGAGTGCAACTCTGGAGCATCTTGCATTTAGCCTCCTGACATCTCAGTTCAGCATGAATGTGCTACGATACCTGCAGCCTAGCTGGGAAACTGACTGGTAGGGGTCAGATTCCCAGCAAGTTACTCTGTGTCGTTAATGCCAGTGTCTGCTCTTAGCTGGCAAAAAATGCAGATTGATATGATGTAACTCTCTTCTATTTGCAGACCAAGTTAAGCCAAGTAGAATTGATATTTCCCATCAGCTAAGATACTGCACACCAATATTGCGAACAGTTACCATAGACCAGCTGATCTGATAACAGAGTTGACATTTGAACTGGCCTCTGGCCCTTTAGGAAAGACCACAGGACTAGATCCAGAAAATGCCTTAGGTACCAAGCTGCCAGAGAGGAACCTACAGCACTGAAGTAGGCGCCAGAGTCGCCAGTCCTGTTCATGCAAAAGACCAGGTGCTGATGGCTGCAGTCCCAAAGATCCAGCACTGACCGGCCCTTAAATGTTGTCCTCCTTTGGAGCCCAGTTGCCCCAAGCTAACGACAGGCTCCTGAGCACACCTTCTCTTTAGACATCTCTTTCATACAGAAAATAAAAATTGGGCCATAAAGAAAACAGGATTCTAGATCCCAGTTCCAAAGACTTTTTAGGCATTTTCATATTTGTGGAAAAGGCTCTTCCTTGTACACACACACCTGCCGAGCAATGTGACCTGTAACTCGGAGCAAGTGGCTCTTCCTCTCCCTGCTAATGAATTTAATTGTGCTCTGCAGAGGTGCTCAGCTTCAGACAGAGCTGCTGAGCTTGTCACACTTCAGAGTACACTCGAGTCTGATGTTCAGACTTCTGAGAATTGGGCACATGAACCTGAATTCCTGCAGGCAGATGAGTGAACCACATCTGGCTCACTCTGTCTCCAAGGTGAGGCACTCATAGGCTGAGACTATTTTTTTTTTCAGATGTGTGAGGGGCTTCTTCAGCTTAAACTCTCATTCTGAACAAAAATGGCAATGACTTTTGGGTTGCCACTGGATCAAGCAGGTGTGTGCTAGGTAAGACTCACCAGACTGGGTCCCTGAAAGTAAATGCTATTTGTGGATCAATGAGTAGTAGAAGCTCAGGACCTATCTAATGCTGATCTCAGTTTATGACACGATTTTTTGAAAAGACTAAAGACTGCTTCACCCTCATAGCACTCTTTTGCTCTGTCATTTCAATGGTATGGCTGGGCACGAGTCTGGACAGGAGCCTGGCAAGAACTGCAGAGTGAGGAGTTGCAAAACTTCACTGGAAAAAAATAGGTACAGGTATCGAGGTTTTCACTTACAGCTATAAGTTACTGCTTTGAGTGTAATATGGAAAGCTTGATAAAGAGCAGAGGCCTAAACCCACATGTCTAAAGACAAGCTGGTGCTTTGTCAGGCCACCATCCCTTCTTAAGAAAAGCTGTGCTTCAGCAATTTTCCTAATTGTTGCAGTGCAAACTGCCAAACACACGACATGTTCATAACTCCTGTTTGAACTTCATAAAATGGGTTAGCTGAGAAAATCAGACCTGTTTAAGAGCTCCTGAAGAAGGGCTCTGGCAGTTACCAAGCATGCTCCTCCCTCTTCCAAATGCAGCACTGTGGCAATTTAATTGGGACACTATGCAGCTTTAAAGTTTTGTTTCAGTGTGTAATTCTCTTTTCCCAGCTTCAGAGCATCACCAAGGCTCTCTGTGGTAACCTTAATGTTTGGCATTTTTTGAAAAGGGACTATCATGATTTTAAAGACATTTAATGTATATCTAAAATATTTAGAAAGAAGTACCTAAATACAGAGACACACCTATACATGTACATGCTAAATGTCTCACTGACGGGTGGCTTTAGTGAGACTGTACTGCACTGGGCTGTATTTGAGCTAGTGTCTGACAGCTAAAACTTCTGCATGTAACTTTTTTCCCTGTTTCCTTTTGTGGCCAGGTTTTCTGTCAAACTGTTTTCAGGAGAAGATTTTTTCAGAGTAAACTGTTGTCACTCTGACTGTAGGGTCCATTTGCATCATCTGGCCATCCCCATTACACCATCCTCAGAGCCTGACCCCCTCCGCATGGCCCCAGCTCCAACACCTTTTAAAGGAATACCCAAAGCCATCAGACAGTTGTAAGCAAGGAGTGCTGAGCCATGTTTCTGAGCTGTTCTGAGTGATAGGTACCTGCACTGTTAAACTGAAATGTAATTTTTTCCTCTTTCGCCCTCCCCCCCCCCCGATTCCAATCCTTGTTTTATATTCTGCTGTTTTTCCTTTTAGATCACAACTTCCTAATTATTAAATATGTCTTGTACAAACACTTTAGACAGATGAAACCTTGTTTAATCTTTTTGGTAGATACAGCTTCTACTTTTACTCCTTATGAATTTTTCAAACCTCAGGTCATTTGTGAAGTTCTGCTTTGAATATTTTTCTGTTTGGAAACAGCTCTCACTAATTTTGTAGACAGTGATTAATACTGTCTTATATGATACTCCTCTGTTTATGCAGCAGAAGATCACCCTCATCATGTATAGCCCTACATATTTCAGTAGAGGGCTACATCAAATGTATCACAAATGCCAAAATACATGTATGGGTGTGCAGTTCTCTCACCAAGCAAACTGACAATGTCAGAAAAGGTAGACATCTGGCAACAATTATTTTCTATGCAATAATGCTGTTCGACCTTCAGTCATCATACTAAATTCTTTCTCATTATGCCCATTTCATGATTTTTTGTGGAACTGACTTCAGGCAAATCACCTATCTATTCCCAAGATGCTCCATGAGACCAGTTCTGAACACTGGCTCAATAGCAGCATCTTCCCAGTCCTTTGGAATTCCTCAGCATTGTGGTATTTGGTAAAAATCAGCAAAAAAGATTCATTTGGATCTAATTCTTTCAGTCTTCTTGGATGAAAGTTACCACACCAGTTCTCTAAGGCATGCTGCAAAGCTCATTAAGTTTGGCTTATTTGTTCCTAACCATTTTTAATGCCTGCCTTGCAGGTTTTTCCTGCTATTACTGTGTTTCTATTCTCAGTCTTGGCATAGGGGAAAATTAATGCTCTTGTTGACACTACAGTACCTATCAAGTATCTATCAGGGTTTACTTTTTTCCACTTCAGCGATTTTGTTTTCCATTATCCTGTATCATTTGAGGGAAGCTGCCCAGCATTTTACTGAACTTTGGATAGACTTTGGGTAATGATTTTAGTCTGTATGGGTAAATATCGCTTTCCCTGAATAGATGAGGATGGATACTATCTGTCTCTATAGTTCAGCGTTTAGTTAATGATTTCTGAGAGCAGGAATGAACTAGCTTGTTTATAGTGCTGACATAACCAAATGGCTGGCTTCTATTGCTTGAACAGGCTGCCCAGGGAGGTGGTTGAGTCCTCATCCCTGGATGTGTTTAAGAAAAGGGTGGATGAACTACTTAGGGATATGGTTTAATGGGAGATTAGGGACGGTTGGACTGGATGATCTCTGAGGTCTCTTCCAACCTAGAAAATCTATGAACAACTTTGAATTTCAATTTTTAAAAGTTAGTTCTTTTATTTCCAGCATTGCTGATGCTGACATTATTTTTAGAAATATCTGATTAAGTACATTCAGGCTCAAATGTATCACATCTCTTTAATGAAAAAGTAATCTAGAGTACACAGCATTACTGATTTTGGATCATATTTTTGGAGCTATATTATTTTAGAATTAGATTTTACTTACGCTGCTTCACATAATCTTGAAAATTAATGGAGACTGAAAAAGTTCATGGTGAAGTGTTACCATATGCTTCCCTTAGTACCTTCTACTTGCCACTGTTGGAGTCAAGATACCAGGATACTTTTGGCTTAAGCACAGGCTAAGTTTTTATACTACTGCATGTTTCTTTCTAAAAGATGTAAAATAAATTAGCTGACAGAGAAGCATTTTGCCTCCCTCCTTTCAAATGGCAGCAATTTATAAAATATCTTTCAATGCAGTTCAGCCCAGCTGGCAATCTCTGCTCACTGTTGGAATAGCTGCAGTGCTGCAGGTCAGGTTGATGGCCTACAGTTGGATCTAAGTAAAGGTGTGTCTGGGCTCTCCTTTGAGTGTTCCCCGTCTGTTTACCCCTTTGATGTATTCTGACGTCTCATGCAGCATCATAGTTCTGAGAAATGGTGGTCACTAAGTCAAGAGAACATTCCCAAAGACAATACAACTCATGAGACACTCACAG